AACAGGTATATTATTCAAAGAGGGGAAATTATGGTCATATTGAGCGTGAGAATGACGTTTATCGACGTGAGTTAGAGGCGCTAGTAGTAACCATTTTTTTTCGAGTAGAATACTACACTTTTTCTATTACTCATATCAAAAGTATTTCAAAATAAGATTCATTTCTGAAGGGTTGTTGTTTTACTCAATTTGAAATAGTTTAAAAATTGGGTGGTTGAAAAAATGAAAATAGTCTGTCGTCTGTTGGATTTCAATCCAGGAACTCGACAATCGTTATTACAAATCTGTATGATATTGAACTATTTGAGCTTCAAACTACTCTAATTTTGTTATTTGTGTTATTTGTTGTGGAATTGGCCGCTGTGGTAGTGCGCCCGACTCATCGACCGTGGGTTCGATTCCCGCCTCGACCAGATATTTGTCTCGGGAGAATTTATCTGGTTGAAGCTGGAATGATTCTGCAACGGTGTTAGGAATCACACGTTGAAAGGTAATACCTCGTTAGTCCTTAGCTCGTACAAGTTTCTCAACTTCTGAGAGTTGTCGTTCGTATGAATGCGACAGCTGATTAACGGAAAAACAGATTTTAAACAGATTTTTTTCAATAGTGACTTTTCGATAAATATCAATTTCTTGCCCACATTCCAATTTTCAGGTCTTCAGTTCCATGAATTATTTTAACGTTCAATTAGGTTAGTCATCAAGGCTTGCTTGTGATTAACAGTTATTAAAACACGAGTGTGAAGTTGTGAATTTGTTCATCACTGATTGTCCCCTGAATTAGTGACTTATGAATCTGGTCAATTATGACTAGCTTCCAAGATAGTGAATTATGAATCTAGTAAACTGTGACTGGCCTTTGAGTTAGTGAGTTATGAATCTGGTCAACTGTGATTGACCTCGAAAATAGTGAGTTATGAACTCGGACGTTGTGAGTTATGAATCTGATGGTCAACTGTGACTGGCCTCGGAGATAGTGAGTTATGAATCTAGTCAACTATGATTGGCCTCGAAAATAGTGAGTTACGACCTAAGAGGTTGTGAGTTATGAATCTGATGGTCAACTGTAACTCGCCTCGAAGGTAGTGAATTATGAATCTGGTGAATTGTGACTGACCTCGACGGTAGTGAGTTAAGAAACTGGTTGACTCGCCTCGAAGGAAGTGAGTAATGAATCTGTTCAATTGTGATTGGCCTCAAAATAGTGAGTTACGAATCTAGTCAACGGTAACTGACCTCGAGGGTAGTGAGTTATGAATCTGGTCTACCGTGACTTTTCTCAAAGGTAGTGAGTTACGAATCTGGTTGAAGAGCCTCAAAGGTAGTCAGTTGTGGATCTGGTCAACTGTGGTTGGCCTCGAAGATAGTGAGTGATGCATCTGGTGAACTGTGACTGGCTTTGAAACTGGTGAGTTATGAATCTGGTCAACTGTGACTGCCCTCGAAGATAGTAAATTACGAATCTGGACAACTGTGACTAGCCTCGAAAGTAGTGAGTTATAAATCTAACTGGTCTCGAAGGAATTGCGTTGTGAATTTGGCTGTCGTCCTCGGATGTTGTGAGTTATGAACTTGGTGGTCAACTATGACTGGCCTGAAAGCTATTGAGTTAAGAATCTGGTTGATTGGTCTCGAAGTAGTGAGTTATGAATCTGGATCATTGGCCGCGGAGGTAGTGAGTAATGAATCTGGTCAAATGTGATTGGCCTCGAAAATAGTGAGTTATGAATCTGGTCAACGGTAACTGACTTCGAGCGTAGTGAGTTATGAATCTGGTCAACTGTGACTGGCCTAGAAGGTAGTGAGTAATGAATCTGTTCTATTGTGATTGGTCTCGAAAATAGTGAGTTACGAATCTGGTCAACTGTGAATGTCATCGATGGTAGACAGTTGAGAATCTGGTAAAGTGGCCTCTATGGTAGTGAGTTATGATTCTGGCCAACTGTGACTGGCTTCTTAGCGTTCTGAATCTGATCAACTGTGACTGGCCTAAAAGGTAGCTGCGTTATGAATTTGGTCAATTCAAGTGAACAAGTGAATAAAATTGAACGTTAGTCGTTATTTTCATGTATAGCGTTCTAGGGATTTTCTTAAAGTCCTTGTTCATCTCTATAGAAGGAAGATAATTTTATGACTAATTTTGATATCTGCAATTTAGAGAGTTTGTTGAGAGTTTGTCAAAACAATTTTCCGTCGTCTCTCGTCTGTTGGATTATAATACAGAAACTCCGATTTGCAATTCTAGTAATCTACTAATCACTTCACAATCGTCAATACACATCTACATCAATTTGTTGGCCACATTCCAATTTTCAGGTCTTCAGTTACAGGAATGATTTTGACGTTCATTTAGATAAATCATCAAGGCCTACTTGTGATTAACAGTAATTGAAACACGACTGTGGAGTTATGAATTTGCTCATCACTGATTGTCCCCTGAATTAGTGAGATATGAATCTGGTCAATTGTGACTAGCCTCCAAGATAGTGAATTATGAATCTACTCAACTGTGACTGACCTCGGAGGTTGTGAGTTATGAATCTGATGTTCAACTGTGGCTGGCCTCGAAGGAAGTGAGCGATGCATCTGATGAACTGTGACTGGCTTTGGAACTGCTGAATTATGAATCTGGTCAACTGTGACTGCCCTCGAATAAAGTGAATAACGAATCTGGACAACTGTGACTGGCCTCGAAAGTAGTGAGTTATCAATCCCACTAGCCTCAAAGATTTTGAGTTGTAAATCTGGTTGTCGTCCTCGGAGGTTGTGAGTTACGAATCTGGTAGTCAACTGTGACTGGCCTCGAAGCTATTGAATTATGAATCTGGTTGATTGACCTCGAGGTAGTGAGTTATGAATCTGGTTTATTGGCTTAGAAGGTAGTGAGTTATGAATCTGGTCAACTGTGATTGGCCTCATCCAATTGAATGGCCAGCACGATCACCAGATTTAACACCACTGGACTACTTTTTGTGGGAATATTTAAAGTCTAAAGTTTATGCTACACAGCCAGCCAATTTGGATGAATTACGTCGTAGAATCATTGATGAATGCCGAGCTATAATTCCTGAGATGTTGAATAATGTGAGAGCGAAATTCGAACAAAATCTTTATTGTTGCATGGAGCAAAATGGCGCACATTTTGAACATTTACTCTAAATGTCCTATGTGAGTTACCCTTATTAGGTGTTACTTTTTTGTGTGTGCTTTAAAAACAATTTTTAGGATTTATTAACCCTAAAACAGTTTTTTGAACTTTTTTGTGTCATCAGCATTCAAGGAAATCAGCAGGTTGTATTCGTTGTGTAGGTAAGTTTTTAGTATGATTCACTTTTTTATCAGAAGCATAAAATCTCCACGTCAAAAGGCAACCTTCATAAGGAAGTGCCACTCAATTTACCTTAAATGTAAGGGTGTAAGTAAAAGTTCACTGTCAATAAAGTTTAAGCAATTTGAAATACACAATGACAGCGTACGCAACGCCCTCTAGATGTTACATGAAAAGTAATACAAAATTATGATTTCTCACGTCAAAAAAACCCGGGTACCAAATTTTGTGCAAATAATTTGTTTCTTGCAAGTTATTTTTAAAGAAACGACCAAAAAAATCAATTCCAACCCCCTGTATCTCCGAAACGAAGCATTTCTGAACACAAGTTTTCATAAACTTTCTTCCTCAAAATTGTCCAGGAATACGTCACTTTGACATTTTAACGTATTTATGTTACACCCTGTACAAGAGTGTTCAAAAAAAAGTCGGACAGTTCACTGACGAAACACAAATCCTCACAAAAAGTGTTGAACAGAAAATATTCAGAATAATTATTAATGAATACAATGAATTTTTTGTGGTATATTTCAAGTACAAAGCACAATGTTCACAGATTGACACTAACTGAGAAAATCTCAACTTTGTGGCTGTCAAACCTCATAATGAACTTCCAATCAGAATGAAAACAAGGCCGCGACATTCCAGATATCCAAAAAATTCTAATTGAATTGGAACCGTATAGTCCCGACGAATTCAGTCTTTTCCTTCAGTATTATCTCACAATTTGTTTACTTACTTGCGAAGAAGAAGTTCTCCTAGCGGAGTGAAAACCAATATTGTTGGGAACTCGATCATCAATTAGTACCTCCTTTTCATTATCCAGTTTGTTCTGGAACAACAAGAAATCCAATTTCATTAAAGATTTCCTTTCCAAGAATAATGGATATTGGATATATCGAAATAAGTCATTTGTGCATTATTGGCAATTAGAGTAGAAAAGTGGGAAAGATCAGATTTCCAATGAGATTAAAACCATATCTGGGTTGACAATTGATAAAATCTCACTCTAAGTTTCCAAAGCCACTCATCTAGACCACTCCTATGGAGATCTGTGGGCCACAATCCGCAGTTTGCGGTTTGGAGTGATTGCATTATTCCGTATAATGCCATGCTTGATGCTGAAATATATCTGAAATAATAATAATAGTAAAGCCACTCATCTGATTGGAGACGCGAATATCACGTGCAACCTTGATAGCCTGGAATATCGAAGAAAGGTTGGGAATTTGTCCCTCTTCCATAGATACTTTCATGAGAAATGTTGAAGTGACTTGACATATTTTATTCCACCAAGAGCGGTAACCATAGTTTTAAGAGTTTTAAGGTTCAACTCAGTACACTTCGAACTTCACTGTTCAAGAACTCTTTCATCTGGAGGACTGCGTTTATGCTTGTGTTTTGCCCTTAAAAAAATCTCCTTATATTTTTCTTTCCAGTGAATCCGTTTCCTGTTCGAAGTAATTCATAAATTGATAAATTGTGACTTATAATTGTACAGATTTCACCCTGTAACGAGAAAAAACTTTGACTCACAAGGCACAGATTTTCATCGCGGTTACGTCTCAATATTATAATCGTGTTTTCTTATCGCAGTTTGTTCCCGAAACCGCAGTGATATAACTCTTAAATTATTCCAAAACAGCTTTGCTTTGCTACCCACGATGCGTAAATAGTCAAGCCAATCAGTTGGAAAACCCAATCGAAAAGATTCAACTTCAACATTATATTGTTACGAGGCGACTATTTCACAAATATCTCTGTTTGACGCAACATTAATTTTTTGAAAGATTTGTTGAACATCGAAATTTACCATCCAGATTGAAACAAATTACGCCTAGATGTATTATGTTCTATATGTGTGCGATTAATAGAGAGTTTCTGTTAATATATCGTTCGTGATTTAAGACGTTGGAGTCCTGGTTAGAATATAAGAAAAAATAAGTGAGTATGACGATTTATTCTGGTTTTTATCAATAAACCTATGGATTATTCATATATAAGTAACACACCTAACCATGAAAAGGTAATTGGTGTAATTCTTTCAATAAAACTTCAATCATGAACACTTGTATACAAAAAATATCCTTCAGTGTGAGATTTGCACTTGAATTTTACGAAACCGTGACACGAATGAAAAATCTTTGAATTTTTTCAAATCTCACAATATTTAGAAGCATTAACTCAAGATAAACTTTTCTGTCAGAAATGTTAGATGGCACCACGTGCCCTCTAAAATAAGAGTCGAAACTTTTAAATTATTCCATCCTTGTTATCAAGTGCACCAACGTGAATATTTGGTGACAAAAGTAAAAGTATGAGTATATGTTTTTACCACTTACCACTAATAAAAAAACAGAAATTTTCATTTCTCTTTTCAATATTCAAAATATTTTTTGTAGTGAAAATATTTGACGTGATTGAATAAAAATTGGTCTATTTCGTTTGTGGATTGTGACCGTTAACCAAACATATATAGTTAAAACCTTATTGAAATCTACGCAATTCGTCGATACTTGATTCCTAACCTAGTCTATCCTAACCTAACCTAACCTAGCCTAGCTTAACCTAACCTAACCAAACCTAACGTAACTTATCGTAACCTAACCTAACCTTACTTAGCCTAGCCTAACGTAACCTAACCAAACCTAACGTAACTTATCCTAACCTAACATAACCAAACCTAACCTAACCTTACTTAGCCTAGCCTAACGTAACCTAACCTTAAAAGCACATTTCTTGAATACTTAAATAAATCATTCATTACGAAGCCATATTGATAGAATATACCAGATAATATGAAAATTACCTTTTCAATATTGTTTCTCCGTACCGCTATAAGTATGTAGGTTCATTTTATATTGTAGATATGCATTAAGAAAGGATTTTCAAATATTCCACCTGGGGCGCCAGCAGTGGCGTCCCAGTGGTTCATAAAACCAAATTGTCTTTTCATCACTATTACTCCAGGCCTCTGAATTTCCTGTGGGTAAATTTATATTTCTGATCAGCATTGCCCTCGTGTGGAGCCTGGGCGGGTCTCTAGTATGAAACTAAAATCGTTATTCCTTCAAGTTGTAATGAAATTGTTCAAGTCTAAAGAATTTTTTTTGCAACTGGCAACGCTGCCAAGCAGTCCCAGAACATTCAGGCAACGCATGTCATGTCTATGAAAATCGTATTGCAAATATTTCTGCTGCTTATTCGCGATAGAAACGATGAAACGGCAGTCTAGCAATTAGTTGTACTTGCTGGTATCCAAAATGAATAACCTTCGATCTCCGTTGGATGTTTCGAAATGTGAATTAAAAAGCACCCATTGAGGGAATGAAATCCAGCAGATTATCGTGCAGGCAATCAAAATGATATCGTAACATTATCGAGAACGGTAAGCAGGTGAATACTTTCTTTAATTTGAAATGGAGTTATGAAGTGAGGTTATGACTTACAACGATATGTTTCTGTGGTTTACGAATTCTAGAATCGATAAATTTTAATCGGTAGTTAAAATTATCTTTATCCTAACCTATCCAATTGTTGTAGTGTCTGTAGGTTATTTTTATTTAGCATGTAGGAAGGTTAGGTTAAGTTAGGTTAGGTTAGGTAAGGTTAGGTTAGGTTCTTATCAAGAAAGGTATGAATGGCTTTAGAAACTAGATATTTGCTTACGAATTGCATACTTAAATAAAAAACGGGATTCATAATATGAAAAATCGACTTTGTACACCTACAAAATTGAGAAACGTTTTTTGTGATGATCTATTCGACAGAAAAAACTTCACGTCATAGTTTTCCAGGCCATCTGAGTGGGTGAAAATGGGGTGAAAATATAAAAAAATTCGTAACATGAAAAATCCACTTTGTACACCTACAAAATTGAGATATGTTATTCCTGATGATCTATTTGACGAAAACAACTTCACGTCATAGTTTTCCAGGCCGTCTGAGGGGGGAAAATATGGTGAAAACTTGAAAAAGTCGTATCCAGACGTTCATCGAAAGAAAGTTCCTTTTCAATGTATGTTACCCATTTCGTTTTTGAGATCTCTTCTTATCTTTGAAATTACTGAGAGCATTAAGTGGATTCATTTTGCAACTGCGTTCGCAGGATACGATCGAGATAGCAAATATCCCTATAGCATCAACTTTTGTTGATGCTACAGCGTGGTTGGTGTAGAAAACCTCATTCCTCATTTGGACAATAGCAAATTTGTTTATTCTCAATTCCATATTGATAGCACACTACCAACTTTCTTGAATCATGTATATTTCCATGATTTTCCAATAAGAACAAGGTTACCAAATAGATATTTTACCCCAATCTCCTCTTTAATTACGAAGGGCATATCATTTTCGTAAGGACCGCTCATAATCGTAAGTGTTATCACTCAAAAGTCGTTCCTGCGTGTGACACCGCAAAAATGTCTCCTCTACAATTTTGCTATAATATTATGTCTTCATTATAACCATAGTTAATGGGGTGTTTTCTTTCTTTCCGATTTAGACGTAAATGATAATAAAATGTCGCCTTTGTGTCGTATTTACAACAGATCATTACTATCACTCACGACCCACGAATAGAAACCAACGACAAAGCACATCAAAAATAATGAGACGTATTGTATATATTTTCGAAGAGTAACTTCAATCTACTTTCGAAAAGTTGTCGTTCAACAATACCAAAAGATTGGAGTTTATGTAAGCCAAAGACAACTTCATAGATCAGGGTAATTAGGAGATACTTTATATTTCCCTTCAAAATAATGAAAACAGTTCATTTGCTTTATATCAACAACATAAACCTCACTGTTTTTGGGTAGCCTATTCAGGTTGAGAACAATGTGAACAGATACGTCAAGGATCTTGTTTTTCGAGTTAAAAAACAACGACAAAAATATATTGAGAACTGAAAACATATTTCAGAGGAACATCTGCTTGAATTTTCCTTTTCATTTGCAGATGTGAGACTGAGGCATCATCAACCAATAGTGCTTATATATCTAGTAGGACCCTAATTATGAAATCATTTGAAGAACGGAAAAACCTCTTGAAACTGAAAACGAAAGACAATTGTCTACCGTTACATTTTGCGGCCTACTGTGGATCTAAAGAAGAATTCTACTCTCTCGTTAATAATGGCGATAACATTGAATCACTAGATAATGACAGAAACCATGTGTTGCATTTTGCTGCTTTTGGAGGATGCATTGAACTCGTGAAATACCTAATCGATAAGGGATGCAACCTGATGATCAGGAACTCCATGGGTGCATTAGCTATCCATTTTGCTTTTGCCAATAATTGCGTGAGTGTCATCAATTACTTCATTGAACAAGGACTCCACGTCGATGAAAAAGACAACCATGGCGGTACATTGCTGTTTTATTCAACTATTTGTACAACTCCAGAAACTCTAGAAACTGTTTTAGGTTATGGAATTGAAGCCGATTTACGAGACTCTAACGGAAACTCTGCCCTACATTGGGCATCATTCTCAAATTCACCTAGTTGTGTGGACTACCTCATGGATCAATGCGGGATTGATGGTACTATTACGAACGATAATGGAGAACAACCAATTCATGCAGCGGCCAGAAATAACTCGTTGGACATAATAAAACTGTTCGTAGAACGTGGAACAAATCTCAATGTTCTAGATAAAAACGGCAATTCTATACTCCATTCTGCTGCTATAGGGGATTCTCTGGAAGTTACGAGATATTTGTGCGAAGTAATGGCAATGGATAGAAATATTTCCAATGCCAATGAAAACAAACCTCTTCACTTCGCAGCCATGCACAACTCCATGAGGGTGATTCAGTATTTAGTCGACGGTGGCTCTGATATCTATACCAGAGGTTATAACGGTTATACAGTGCTTCATTGGGCTGCAGACACGAAATCAATGAATGTCATCAAATATTTCGTTGAACACTGGAACATGCGAATCGATGTGACAGACGATATTGGCAGAAAACCGATTCATGTTGCTTCTGGAAGAGATGCCTTAGATATTATCAAATATTCTATTGAGCGAGATCACAACTTTGAATGTCCAACTGACGATGGACAAACTCTCCTTCACTTTGCCGCTGCATATAATGCAATGAAAGCTTTGAAATATTTCGTCGAAGAACTTGGACTCGACTTGACGGTCAATAATAAATATGGTCGGGCTCCATTACACTTAGCTGCTGAAAATAACTGTTTGGAAGCTCTGAAGTATCTCGTTGATCACGGAACTGATGTGAATGTGGTGGACCAAATTGGAAATACGGTTGTACATACAGCTGCCACGGCAGCTGGAGTGGATACGGTGAAATACCTCGTCGAATATCTTGGGTTGAAAATTACAACTCCTAACAACTACGGTTTTCTTCCCATTCACCTTGCAGCCGCGAAGAATTCACTTGAAACGTTCAAGTATCTAACTAGCTCAGGGGTTGACTTGAATGAAATAGATGAAGATGGTGGAACTTTAGTACACATGGCGGCTGCAAGAAATTCGCTAGATATATTGAAGTACCTCATCGAAGGAAAGATATTAGATCCAAATATTCCAAGTAGAAATGAAAGCAAATCCATACACTACGCAGCTGAATACAACGCACTGGAAGCATTGAAATATTTACTCGAACATGGAGTGGATTTAAACAGTTTGGATTCAAACGGAGATACTATCCTTCATAGAGCAATAGATAATGAAGCCCTTGAGATCGTAAACTACCTGCTGGAATATACTACAGTTATGGATGTTCCTAACAACCGTGGTTGGAAACCAATTCATTATGCCGCTAAATACGATATACTGGAGGTGATTGAATCTTTATTTCTTCAAGGTTATGAAATTGATGCGGTAACTCATGATGGGGACACAGCTCTCCATTTTGCTGCCAAAACGGATGCAATCAAGGTGTTCCGGTATCTCATCGAAAAATGTGAATTGGATGTAAATGTTGCCAACAATAAAGGTAACAAACCAATTCATCTCGCAGCGAGGTCGAATTCACTGAAAATTCTTAAATATTCAACAGATAATGGTCACGACATTCATGCCGTTGGTGAACTGGGGTTCTCAATTCTTCACTGGGCTGCCACCAATAATTCACTAGATGCAGTAAAATATATCATCGAGCATTGCGACATAGACACTGATGTGGAAGATGAATTAGGCCGATTTCCGATTCAAACAGCCACTGCAAACAACTTTACCGAAACTGTGAAGTATTTGGTATCACGTAGCTCAAATATAATAGCTGATAGAATTGGCAACACGCTATTTCACTACGCTGCAGCATGCAAGGCGATAGATGTGTTGAAGTACCTTGTTGATAGACATAAATCTCAAATCAATGTTGCAAACAGACGTGGAGCCAAACCAATTCATTATGCAGCTTTGGCGAACAATGTTGTTGCTATCGAATGTCTCATCGATAATGGCGCCAATATATATTCTGTGGATGAGATGGGAAATTCAGTCCTCCACTTTGCTGCTTCTTCAAATTCTGTAGATACTCTGAAACTATTCATCGAGGAATTCTGTTTGAACGTTTACACTGGAAATAATTATGGCGATAAACCTATGCACGTCGCTGCTGAGCAGAATTCCCTTGAAGTTGTCAAGTACTTCAAAGAAAGTGGAGTAGATATGAATGTCGTTAGTAAGTCAGGAGACAATGTTGTACACAGGGCTGCCGAGTTTGACGCTATTGATGTGATGAAGTATTTTGTGGATAGCTACTCAGATGTCAGTGTAGGTCGCCAAGAAAGAACTGAATGTGCTAATAGCTTGGTTACTTCTGCTGAAGCAATACATTTTGGTTCGGAGATATCAATAAAAGGTGGAAACTACTCGCTTGATTCAGGTGTTGATATTTTTGCCAAAGATAATCGAGGAAGGACTGCTCTTCATATTGCTGCCATGGTAGATTCAATTAATGTTATAGAGTTGCTGATGAGTCGTGGTATGAACGTTAATGTGAAAGATTGCCGTGGAATGACTCCCGCTGATTATGCTGTTAAGAATGATTCTACCAAGGCCATTGAGTATTTTGAACGATTTGGCATCAAGGGAAAAAGCTCTTCTTGTATTATATCTTGATACCTGATATGCTGATATTATATCCTGATACATGATTAAACTAGCTATTACCTAAAGCATAATGTCGTTTTTTGCCTCGAACCCTGTCAAATGGTGATTTATGACTTTTGGTGATTTCTAGTCAACAAGGAGTGTAAGCTCTCGGTAAACCAAACTCTTTTCCTGTCGCTAACCATTTGATAAGCATGATATAGCTGCTTAAGTGTTCAGCATAAGCATAACAATAGTTTCATCATCGTTGAATTTGGGTCAATTTATTGTTGTTTTGAATTGGATCTCAAACGTGGTTTTTCATTTAATAGGATGCTTGTGAAAGTTTGAGAAAACCTTAACTCTGGCGGAATTTTTTGAGCCCCCATTGTAGTCTGAAAATAATTTCTCATTGGTTATATTTGTGTATCACACTTTGCTTGCTCTTTCCAGACCTTCGAAGGTATCCAAAAATCTAGTATCTTGTACAATTCCAGTTTTCATTCATTTTATACCGTCCTGCAGGGCGTCCTGAGCGATACCAGTGTTTTCTGGTCTTCGAAATCAGATATGTGCTGCATGTTCTTTGAAACAATTTTCGATGACTCGCTTAGTTTGACCGATATATTTTTTGTCACAGATCATATTTTCGAATAAGTAACGGATAATATCGTATTTTCAGAGAGTTGTACGTGAAAGTAGCTTTCAAAAGTCTTTGCCCACTTCAACAAAGTGACCAAAAAGACAAGATGTTGCTGAAAAGACGGGAACTTCTGAAAAGAGCTGTGAGGACGGTGAAAAAAATATATCGGTCAGACTAAGCGAGTCATCAAAACTCGGTTTAGAGAACACGTATCAAATATCCGTATCGAAGATAAGACAAATATGGTGTCGTTCTAATGAAATGATGGAATTTTATCGTTGGTACATTGTTAAAACAAAAAAAAATAGCAGAAAAAATAGAATCATAGTTCGAACAAAATAATTACTTGTGTATGATCATCGTACGGAACATTTTTCTTTTTTCATTTTATAACGAACCTGGGTAAATTTTGATTTTATATTTCTTTCTTAATAGTGCTATCTGTTTCATTTTTCATATATGTATATCATTTCTAAAAATTTGAATTAAGAACTTTAGCATTACCAAAATTAAATGCTGTAAAAATTGTAAATTTGGCTGGTGCAAATTATTGAGATGAGGGGTGGTAATGTTGACCTTCTTCAGGTAACATCATTCTTCGTTGAAGAAACCAAAATTTCATGTTATTGTGATATATCCTGTATATCTAAAAATGAATAATCTGAGAATCCAATATATGGCCAGATTTTATAATGGTTCTTGAGCGGCATACACGCAAACGATGTTGGAAAGTTATTTATTTAATTTTTAACACACTTTCATTAGCTCCACTCGTTTATTTGTTTGCAACCGACTTTTTTGGACTCGATTTTGACAAACTTCAAACGGGTAGATGTATCTTAAACTTTGTATACTTATCAAGAGAGCAAGTGAAACAACCACAGTGTCTGTGCATGCGTAAATATTGTATATTAAAACAAATGTGCTTGAAACAGCAAGCCAAAGTAAAAAGTGGAAAATAAATAATAGTTTGGAAAAGTGAAATATCACGCTTCGATGACAACACAAACTAATAAATAAAAATAATTCGAAACATTCAACATCGATAATACGTCCAGTAGCTTGATGTAACCAACGGCTTTCAATAAGTCTGAAATCAGAATAAATCTATTAACAAAAACTTATGGCTTCCCACCATCAATAAAGGACATATTAGGAGATGAATGTGATATTAATAATCTATTAGCTTTCCTCAGAAATACCAATTTGTTAGATACTCTCTAATTTTTTTCTCCATGTAATATATCGACAAGTCGCTTATGACCCTAGAGGTCGGACGTACTGTATATTTTAAAAAAGTTTGGAGGATTATACAATTTCTTTATACTGTTCTCCAGCTGTCTTATGTAAGATCATATTCTCGTTACGCTTGTTTCCTGGCATTGTATCTTTTAGTCATGAATTGGGTTCATTGTAAATCCCATAGATGTCGTGTTCGTAGGTAAAGATGTCATAACCTCTTTTAAAATGGGGTGTTTCATATTTCCAGTAACTGAACATCATTTTTATTTTCAGATGCGACTACTCAGCCATCTTTACTCGAAAAAACTACCCTCAGATATTGTCTAGAGTAATAAGTTACAAAGTATGGATTCATTTGAAAAACGGAGATACTTCCTACATCTAAGACCGAAGGACAACAGTTCTCCTTTACATTTAGCAGCTTATCATGGATCTGTAAACGATTTTCTTCATTTGGTGAGCCTTGGTGAAGATATTACAGCAACAGATGATGATGGTAACCATTCTCTACATTACGCTGCATTTGCTGGTTGTCTTCAAATCGTGAAATATTTGAAAGAGAATGGTTGCAATTTGAAGGTTAGAAACTCGATGGGTGCATTGCCTCTTCATTTCGCTCTCACAAAAAACTCCACAAGCGTTATAGACTATTTTGTACAATATGGAGTTGATATCAATGAGAGAGATGAACAAGGGGGAACATTATTATTTTATTCAACACCCCTTACTAAATCAGAAACCGTGAAATATATACTCGGTTACGGCATTGGGGTCGATTTGAAGGATAAAGCTGGAAATACCGCTCTTCACTGGGCAGCATATTCGAGTTCTATGGATTGTGTGGAATACTTCATAAATGAATGTGGCATCAGTATCAGCGTTGAGAATGATAACGGAGAACAACCAATCCACGCTGCCGCCATAAACGGCTCAATGATACTATTCAAATACTTTGTTAGCTATGGTGTGGATCCCACTGTGGCAGCGAGGAAGGGAAATACTAACCTCCATTTCGCTGCCATGGGCGATTCAATAGAAATTGTAAGATATTTGTGTGATATAGTAGGAATGGATAGAGATGTCGGCAATGATAAAAATACTAGACCCATCCACTATGCAGCAATTCACGACTCGATGAAAGTAATTCAATATTATGTCGACAGAGGTTCAGATGTGAGCATTGGGGGAAATTGTAATCATACAGTTGTTCACTGGGCAGCTGAAACAAACTCAATGAATGCCCTCACATTCTTCGTCGACCAGCTGAAAATGCCGCTGGACGTGACAGACGACATTGGTAGAAAACCAATACATGTTGCTGCTGCAGGAAACTCTATTGAAGCTGTTAAATTCATACTGAAACGGGACCCATGTTTAGACTACAAGACAGACGGAGGGAATACGATTCTTCATTACGCCGCCGGAGGAAACGCAATAAAATCCTTAAAATATTTCATTGAGGAGCTAGGATTAGACTGGACAGTTAACAATGACTTTGGTAGCAAACCCATCCATGTTGCTGCTCAAAATGATGCGTTGGATGCTTTGAAGTATCTTACTGAGCAGGGAGCAGATATCAATGAGGTGACTTACAATGGGGATACGATGGTACATGAAGCCGCATTGGCGAGTGGGGTTGATACCTTGAAGTACCTCATTGAAGAACTTGCCTTGGATATAGAAGCTCCCAATAAATATGGTAAGAGACCTATACATCATGCTGCTGAGAATGAATCAGTTGAACCTCTCAAGTATCTTATTGGTGCTGGAGTTGATTTGAATATTGTCGACCACGATGGTGATACTGTTGTACATGGAGCCGCTTCAAAAGATGGTCTTGACACTTTGAAATATCTCATCGAAGATAAGGGATTGGATCCAAATATATCAAATAATATAGGTAGTAAGCCTATCCACTCTGCTGCTGAAAATAATGCACCTGAGGCACTGAAATATCTCCTTGGACGAGGAGTTAGTATAATGGAGGTCGATAATGACGAAGATACCATATTGGACATTGCAATTCAGAACAAATCAAATGATGTCCTAAAATATATTTCAGATTTGGACGTTCCTATAAACTGGAGGTGCAAAGCTATTATTTATGCTGTCAAACAGGATATGCTTGAATTAGTTGAGCATTTATGCCAACACGAAACTGTTCTTGATTCTGTAGACCATAATGGAGACTCCGCTCTTCATTTTGCTGCACGAGCAGACGCTGTCACTGTTTTCAAGTACCTGGTAGAAGTGAAGAAAATGGACGTGAACGTTGCCAATAAAAAAAGTAACAAACCAGTTCACTATGCTGCCATATTCAACTCTCTCAAAGTTATCCAATATTTAGCCAAGAACGGTTTTGACCTTCACGCTGTGGGAGAAGCAGGGTTCACTGTTCTCCATTGGGCTGCCAGAAATAACTCTTTGGAAGCTGTCAAATATTTCGTCGAGGATTGTGGAATGAAACTTGACGTGGGGGATGAGCTGGGACGATTGCCCGCCCTTTGTGCCACCCTGAAAGACTTTAGGCGAATTGTTGAGTACATTTTGTCACGTAGTTCGAACATTATTGCTGATGGTTTTGGAAACACTCTGGTTCACTGGGCTTCATCGTGCAATTCAATGGATGTTTTGAAATATCTAGTTGAGATTTATGAATGTGACGTCAATAGTAAAAACACCAATGGAGCGACACCTCTACACTATGGGGGGTATTCTGATTCTGTAGAAGCTTTGAGATACCTGCTCAATCACGGTGCTGATATTAACGCATTGGATAACAAAGGAGGTACAGTTCTACACTGTGCCGCATCTAAGGTGGGAGCATTGAAACTTTTGATCGAGGAGTTTAAAATGGACGTTTATGTAGGGAACGACATGGGCGACACACCTATGCATCTTGCTGCTGAAAAGAATTCGGTCGAAGCCTTGGAGTACTTCAAAACAACTGCAGTAAATTTGAAAGTAGTGAATAACTTGGGTGACACGCTTCTACATCAAGCTGCTGCCAAAGACTCGATTGATGTATTGAAGTATTTGATAGAAAACTGTCGGTTAGATCCAAAGGTTGTAAATAAGACAGGTAGACAACCGATCCACCATGCTGTTGAAGCGAATTCGATGGAGACAATAAAATATCTGATTGGCAGAGGTATCGTCATGGATCCAATGAGTGATGGCAATACAATACTACATTGGACAGTAATAAATAACTCAGTCAAGGCCTTGAAATATTTCAATGAACACTTAAGAATGGATTTGAATGTTTCCAATAATTTTGGGCGGAGACCAATCCACTACGCAGCTTGCAACAACTCAATGGAAATGATACATTACATGGTCGCTTCTGGCGTTAATGTCAGAGTTACGGATGACACAGGAGACAACGTTTTACATTTCGCCGCTAAAAAGAACTCTATCGATGCTGTGAAATATTTTGTCGATAAACACAAACTCGAGATGAGTGATACGAATAAATTCGGATTATCACCAATGCACTACGCAGTAACAACAAAGGCATATAAAGTAATGTTATACTTATTAGAACTCAATTTCGATACAGCTGTTCTGCAGGAAGAAAGCAGTAACATTTTCCAGCAACTTCTTGAAAAAGATCTTGTCACATCTATAAAATTCTTCATTGATGACGGTGTATTCGATAAATACAAAGTAAATCAGTTTGGTGCTTCTTTGTTGCACGTTGCTGCTGAAAATGACTCAATTAATGTTGTGCAGTATCTTACAGCAGAAGGATTCGACGTTAACATTCGAGATGACAATGGAAATACCCCTCTACACTATGCTTCTTCTTCGGACTCACTCGGTACTTTAAAATACTTGATCCATTCTGGTGCAGATACTAATTTGGTCAACAATGATGGTGAAACAGTTTTACATACTGCCGCTAAATTTGATGCGATCAAAACTCTTATTCATCTCATTGAAAACAGTATCATTGACGCCAGTGTTGTTGATAAAAATGGCCGCAAACCTATACACTTGGCAGCAGAGAGAGATGCCATCAAAGTGGTCAACTATCTGACTTATTCAGGGTTTGATATTGCTAGCAGAGATCCCAGAGGTATGAGTGCTATCCATATTGCCGCTACGCAAGATTCTATTCAGGTCGTTGACTTTCTTGTGAATCATGGGGTTGATATTGAGGCGACGGACTACAATGGAATGACATCAAGTGACTATGCCATCAGAAGTCATTCGACCAGGGTTATTGATTATTTTATCCGGTTGCAAAGACAACGTAGAAAATTCTTTTGTGTCGTATCTTAATCTTGTTTCAAAAATTGAATCAGGCATTGTTGATAGCAAAATAATGTTTCAAACTGTATGCTGATAGGTGAGAGATGTTGGTAATTGTACAAATACAATGTATATCATAGTTCTGTTTGGTTTGAATATATTGTTTGTGTACAAACTGTCGAAACTGTCAATCACTCATAATCAGAAAATATGTTCAAATCATTTGAAGGAACATTTTGTTCAGGCCAGTCTCAACTCCCTGCACGGTAGGTTGATGGACTGACACCTATCAGAAAACAACTACTCCCCTGGCTAATACCACGAAGGGCGTTGGATTATATCCGACAGGTGTCAGTGCAGACAGTCCAAATCTCTGCATATGATGATTCAAAAGACAGTGACCTGTAAAAGGGACTTCGAAGGTAATATAACTTCTTTGCGGATGATACAGCATTAACTTTTGTCGGGACCACATGGGAAGAAGCTCATAGAAAGGCGGAGGTAGGCATAAATATAATTTTGCACTGGCTAAGTAATAATTTATTGAGTGTTAACGTCAAAAAACTAAATTTATTACATTCTCCTCAACAAAGAAAGATCAGCCCACTATTACAGAGATTAAAATCCATAAATTTACTTGCCAAAACGATAGACTCTCTTGCATTTGTCCCTTCATAGAAAAAACTGATACAATAAAATACTTTGGGGTCCTAGTGGATCAGTGCCTTCGGTGGAATGATCATATTGACTACACGGTAAAAAGATTACGTAAGCTCACTTACAAATTTTATCAACTCAGAAATATAGTCAGTAGAAAAATGTTGCTTACTGTATATGATGCCCTGGCCGAGCCCATTTTACGGTATTGTCTAATAATATGGGGCGGAATATTCAAATCTTCCTTACGTAATTTAGAAATGATCCAAAACTCACTCATAAAAATTATGTTCAAAAAGAATAAATTCTATAATACTCAAGCATTATATGAAGAGAGTGGAATATATAGTGTAAGAAAACTGTATACTTTCCGTTGTATATTATGGACAGCCAATGTTACGAGTTCATTTGTTCAGAATATATATAATACTCGTTTACACACTTCTCAGATTGCAAAGGTTCCACGATGCCGACTTACTCACAATCAAAAATTTATCACATACATTGGACCAAAACTCTACAATTCTTTACCACCGTCACTAAAATGTATCAGAAGTTATACTAAATAGAAAATAGAATTGAAAACATTTATCAATCACAACTATCACAGATTGGAAACAATACTGGATAGTTGACTAATTCGCCATACTGCAATCACTCAAAACAATATTACAAGCTTGTTTCTGTTTCTTCTTTAGTATTTGATGCTCTAATCATGCTAAAAGACTGCTCTTCATTTTAGTCGTCCTTCTAGGACTTTCCAGAACTATTTAGTAGGTTCATCTTAGTTTGTAAATGTATTGTTACATATTATATTAGACAATGGAAGTCCGAACTGATGAAATACGTTATTCTAATACTTCGACACGTGTTTCTATCAAACAGTTTGATCTTCTTCTTGAAGATGATCACTTGGTGATCGAAACACGTGTCGAGGTGTTGAAATAACGGTTTGGTGTTGGGAAAAAACTCCAATAATATTCATTACTACACCAAAGGTTCCAAACAGTGCATCAAAAAATTCATAAGACAAATTAATAGTGGATTATCGTTACAGAAATGCCTGTTGATTATGCTTGCATTAAAATTATCAAAAGTCATTCTACCAGAGTTATTGATCATTTCGTTTGACTACGTAAAGAACGGAGAAAATTTCCGTGTTGTTTCAGAACTATATTGTTATATTGAATCAATATAGGTACTCATGTCATTCGTGATGTGATTTATCATGACGTTGTTGAGAGTTGTACATAAACATATGTGAATTCAGACTATGTAATGGAAATTGAAATGAAAATTACAATAAAAAATCTTTGAGTACTATTGATAAATCTGACATCCTTGTAACACGCCTACATTGAGCTTTAAAATAAATTTTCCAATCACCCACAGTCATTTATTCATCAAACAGCAGGGAACCAGTTCTAAAAACATTTTCCTTCAGGCCCATCATAATCTTGTTTGTTTTCCGCCTCTTTGTGAGCGCCAAATAATTTGATAACCCACGGCTCCGTCAATCCGTGAGCTTTCAAAATTGATGTTTCACTGAATGATTTTTTTCACCGCATACAAGGTTTCTATTTTTAAAGAATTGTGGTCCAGTTGAACAAGAAAATTAGTCATGAAAGAGGAACATGATCAATAATTGAATTATTCAAGAAACACTATTGTTAGATTTTTACTGAACAGTATTATGAAAACACAACACGTGTTTCTCCATCCAATACCTTCTTCAGGCGTGTGTTTACACGAAACACGTGTTGCCCTTTTGTAAAACTGTTTAGTGAAAATCTCAAAATGAAGTGTTTCTTGTATACGTTATGGATTTTCATCAAGTATCTGCCAATTCCATCAAATATGAAAGAAAAGGATCGATTCGACCAGCGGGGTCCATTATTAATATCAAGCACATCTTATTTTTTGAACAGGCCTCATATTTCACCGGAAAAATAGAAAGCAAAAAAGTTCTTTCTTCTCAACAGTGAATAAAATTCTGACGTTGATTTTTTATTTCATCAAAAACTGAACAAGTCTGCTATCAAACAAAATAACTAGTGACGTATTATTACATAATCCCTACTTCTCTATCCTTATCCCTACTAATAAATGCGAATGTAAGTTTGTTTGTTACGGTTTCACGCGAAAACTTCTCAACCAATCATCATGAAATTTTGTACACATGTTCTTGGAGGTAACATAGGATACT